ATTGCGCGCCAAGAAATCTAAATTTAAAAATACATATCCACTTAATTGAATTGAATTACAACCATTTGTTTTAAGGGACAAGTGAAAGCTCGCCTTGTGCGCTTTATTAATTATTTGCCGAGTGTTTCATACGACATATAATATTTTAATTATGACACTTTGCAACTGCCTGGCAAATAATGTAATTTGATACTTTGAACTTCTGCTACCGCATGCGGTTTGTTTAATTATCGATTGCTCGATCAAAGGCACTGTCCAATAAGTATGCTGATAAGCAAATTGCCAAAAATTTACAACAAAATTGTGAGCTTAATTTGTGTATAAATTTTCCACATTCAAGCTGCAATTGCCGTCTGGCCCGGCCCGGCCTGGCCTGTCGTTCCGTCTCCTTGGCTTGGCCCGTGCGTGTAAATTATGCGCACTTTCACCGCGTTGGTGTTGCGGCTGTTATGCTTGGCTGTTGATTTTGCTGTTGCTGTTGCAAGCCTGGCGTCCCTTTGGTACGGTTTGTCGCCAGTTGTTGGCTGTGAGTCGAAATTAATTAGCCGCACTTCATAGCAAGGCTGGCGAGTGCGTAGGTGTTTATGTCAAATGTCTGGGCCGATCGAGCACAGCGGGGCTTGGCGGAGGGTCATCACTTGTTGCAGTTTGTTGTCATCAATTTATGCGTATTTATTACAATATTTATGCATGTAAATTGTGATGTGCCTCGAATTAATTACACGCCAGGCATATCAACATGAATGTTGCCAGCACTGCGGGTGCTAAACATGTTGCCAGCCGCTCTCACAGAGACAACAACTGGAATCGAACAACAAAAAACCAGCACAAAAATACTGAGAAAAAAAAAAAAAAAGGAGAGATAAAAATAAATAAGCGCACAATAATCGTGCACCATCAGAGAAGCATTCATATTCACACCAGTGCATGCAAAACAGTTGCAACAAGGTTAATAAATCATGCTACAGCGTCGAGTGGCAGACAAATTCACTGAAATTTCAATGAAAAAAATCAAAACAAATGCTAAACAAAACGGCGCTGCGAAACCCAAAAATGGTATTGGTATTGGCCAAAAGGCAGCCGCATCAATATGGAGCATGCATAATCCGACTGCAACTGCAAATGCAATAGAAGCAGCAGCAACAGCAACAGCAAGTTGTCGGCATTATGAATAACTTTTCAATTTGAATGTGAAATAAACGCTTTGTCTAAGCGTCTGGCTAACCGGCTACCGTTAGCAACATTGCCAAAAGTTGTGCGCGAATGTTGCCAATGATTTATGCAGCAACATTTGATGAAATATAATACAAAAGGCGCACAGCAGCCGCAACAGCAACAGCAACAACTGGATAAAAAAAAAAAAAACAAAGATAAATTGCCGCTGCAGCAAATTGTAAACTATATAAGGTTTAAATGTAAAGTTGTGGGGGTTTTCATTTTTACATAAGACTCACATTAGCAACGCTTGCGACTGCCCAATGCGCGCACGCAGCAACATTTATGGCAACAATTGTTGCAAGTGGCGCTAACAACATGCACGTGACACATGTGTCTTTCTCGTCTCTTTCCGTTTTTCGTGCTTTCTGCTCAATTTCAAACCTCTCTTCGTGCTCGTGACACGCTGTTGGGGCACGCGCCCATCGCTAAGGCGCGAATAGCAACAAGTTGATTAGAAATTTTCGGTTTTATTAGCTTTTAATGGGCATTTCGTAATGCGTATTTAATTTGGTTCTGCCCTACAGTTTTGAAGGCTTTAATGGCTATTCCACGGTAACGGTGTGCACAGGCCCAGTCAGAGCGATGCACTCAATCTCGACGAGCGCATCCATTGGCAGCTTGGCCACCTGGAAGCAGCTGCGTGCCGGAAAGTCCTTATTGAACACTGAAAAAGAGCACAGATAAGTTGAATCGTAAATGTTGTGCTTAGTACGCCTGATAAGCCAGCAGATGCCGCTGCCTTATCGTTGGCACTTGTATAATAAGCTATTGGAATGCTCACCCCGCTTGTACACCTCGTTGACCGCACCAAAGTCGTTCAGATCTTTCAAGAAAACTGTGTTCTTGATCACCTTATCGATGCCAGAGTCGGCTGCTTTTAGCACCGCTTCCAGATTCTGCAGCGCCATCTCTGCTTGCGCAGTGGCGCCACCTGGCACCAATTGCATAGTTGACTTGTCCAGACCCAAACAGCCGGACACATAAACGGTGCGATCGGCCACCACAGCTTGACTACAACAGCAACAAACAACAACATGATATGATTGACAGTTGGCTTACGCTCTCTCGCACTCTCGCGCTCGCTCTATTCGCTCGCGTTTGCTTACTTGTATGGCGCCACCGGCTTGGCTGCATTTGCAGTGCTGATTAGTTTACGCACAATTGTTGCCATGGCTTTGTTTTTGAATTGTTGTAGCGCCTGTGCACCTGTTGCCGCTGCTTAAAGTTGACTGAGCGCTCAGTGTTTGCTATTTTTCACTTGTCGCATGTCAAACTTTTATCAGCGCGAGCTTTTCGCACGCTCTCCCATTTGCTCTCTCTCTCTCTCTCTTGGCACAAACACTTTTTGCAACACTAACATGAGCTTTAAAAACTCAAAAACTCAGGCACTTTCGCTCACTCTCATATAGGTTACAGGGAATTATAAAAAATCACAAAAAATATACGAAATTTGATTAAATTTCAATGGATTTCTATAGGCATGAGAATGCAATATGTAATTTAATAAAATCCATTTTTTTTAGTTTGACATATTTGCACTTTGCAATTAGACAAATAACATAAGTAGTTTACTCGTGAGCTTGATGCATTTTTTTTAAAACACAAAAAACTTACAAAATCGGAGACCAATAAGAACGTATAAGCCTTGGGCGACTGAAAGCTCGTGAGCAAAATTGCATCTGTATATTTTTCTAACTTATCTGAAACGTTTTGCAACACTAGCTGCGTAAGTTAGCTCAGTTATGGTTTGATTGCTTCCTTATCTCTGGCCAATTGGGTCGCAGACACTTTCTCTAGCGACCAATATTTGATTTAATGCATGCCACGTCACTTCCCGTGCGCCCCGGCTAATTATTTATTATATTTGGCAATTGCTGTCTGTCAGTCGCTGTCAGTGCGAAGGAAAGCACCGTTGCCAGAATTTGTACGCATGCCACAAGAGCACCGTAATTATTATTATGGGATCTCTCTTGCCAAAATGTGGTTAGGGTCTTAATCTTCTTGACTTGACTGCCTGGCAAAAGGTGCACGCAAACTGACTGGGCGCAGTCAGGCCAGGCTCCTTGGGTAGGCGTAGGTGCAACGCAGAGCACACAGAACACGCCCTGAAAACGCCTGCCCCAAAAAGATTGATTGCAGTCGCTTTGTTGTTGTTGTTGTTGTTGTTGCTGTTGTTTTCTTTTATTATGTATGCATTCTGCTTGGGCAACCCACGAAGATTCAACACTGGAGTAGAAATTTTGTGTTGCCCTGCAGCGTTTTAATGTCGCATTTTAGCGCATTAATTACTTTATGATCCACTTTATGCGCATAAAATATGCGCAACGTTAAATTTAACCAAGCAAAAATTAAACAAAGGCTCTGTAAGGGATCTGTAGTCGGCATTGCCCAACTAGCAGATGCCCTGCCAGCGGTTCCTCTTTGTAAACTAATAAAAATATCAATTTTAAATATCTAGATCGGCTCAATTCGTGATATATATATATACACATAGGAAGCCCACTTGATTCGTTTGCAAATATTACAGGGTATAACAGAAAAAGCAATTTGCCAGTTTTTGCAGTGGATCCTCTCGACTTCGTGGGTGTTGACTGAAACTTCATACTAAATAAACTTTGCACAGTTCAAAATTGAACATTCTACATTGATATTAATTAGTGGCAGAGAGCTTGTGGAATTGATTTATATGCATATATATAATTTCCTTATATCGCATGCCACATAATGATAGCCTGTGGCATTTACAAACAATTTACATTAAACGCTTCAATAAATAAAGCTTTAAATAAGCCACAGCCATTCCAGCCATGCCATATAATTAACATTCGGCCAGTCCAGCAAATAACAATAACAAATTGCCTCCGCAGAAGTTGAAGGTGTGCATTAAGCAAAGGGCCGAGTGCAGGCAGACAGAGAGAGCGAGAGCGAGAACTGCAAAGAACAAGTTGCAGAGGAGGCAGCAAGACTGGAAGCAGGTCAATATTTATGGCACTTGTTTGACAGAGTCTCAAAGCTTTGCTTTTATTACCAATTTTTCCGTGGGTTCTGCGCAAAACTTTCCCTTTTTCATTTTCCCATTGACATGCCTCGAGTCGGATGCGCCTCATCATTGCTGGCTGCCATTTTTTATTGGCTCAAATAACTTCATCTGTTTAAGGCCTTATTGGGGGCTTTATAAAAGCGCCGCAAGCAGCGACGCTGCTGAAGTTGCAGCCGCTGCCAATGCTGCCGCTGCTGCTGCTGCTCCTGCTCCTGGTCTGGGCCATGGCGTAAATTGCAACAATTTCTCAGCCATGTCTGCCTACAGAGAGACTAGCGTCTCAGCCAGCTATATAATTTGCATGTGATTTTTATGGCTGGGCGATTTGGCTGGCTAAATTATTTGATTTTAATTTGCTGCGTAATTGTTGGGTTTATTGTAGCGCACGACCAGAAGCCGAGGCGTAGATATTGCCCGACTAGGATCCCGGTTTGTGGCCAATTAGCACTCGGATTTATGTTTATGGCTTTATATTGAGGCTGCCCAAAGGCTCAGACAAGTTGCCAGAAATAGATTGGCAGTAGCTGCTGCTATACAGTGAATTTCAAGGACTCCTTTAATTAAAGCTGTGCTAATTTGTCGCTTGTTAAGAACAAAACAAAACAAGATTGCAGTTTCTAATTGTATCGAAATACGCATTGATATTATATCGGCTTCCGTCTATCGACTATCGGCTTTGGTATATTTTCTTAACAGCTTCGCATACTCGATTAAACGATCAATCGCATTCCGCCACATTGCATTCTGCTCTTATGTTGTTGTTGTTTTACAGTATCCCAATAAGCTAAACGCTGCTCCCGCTCTTTTGCACACAGTTTACAGTTGCTTTAATCAGCTGATCTTTTTACGCGTGCTTATAAGAATTATAAAAATCGTAATTTGTGAAAAATGTACTTAAACGGGTCCGGATCGCGTATAAATGAAATGAAATTAGTGCGTAATTAATTGGTGTATACGTATATCCGGTGTGCGTTTGATCTTGTTTGTTAATCGATTGAATAAAGACATACTTAACTCTCTTCTAATTAGATATTAAATTTATAACACTCTGTGCCTTAGTGAAAATCGCGTAAACCTACACGAATTGAAAAGATTGTGCAATGTTCGCATTTCCCTTTATAAGCTAGCTCGCAAGAAGGTTATGATAAATTGTCCATCCGATTACCAGATTCATATATTCGTCGTATATCAGCCTTTGCTTTCTATGCAAAAATCATGTAAGTTTCTTTTGCTGCCGTAAGCCGCACTTTAATGCATCCACGCCCACATGGCCAGCAGTGCACACACATACGTACATATGTATGTATGTACATATATGAATGCGTGTCTGTTAGAAATTCCCCCCTGCAAATTATTCATGGGCGAAGAAACCTACAACATTCGAGCCAAGACGGTGAACAGGGCGCCGTAAGCTGTAGCTGTGCAATTTTGTCACCCAAGATTGCAGTTTCTAATTGTATCGATATACTCATTTATATCGGCTAATGCCTATCGACTATCGGCTTAGGTACATTTTCTTAACAGCTTCACGTAATCGATTAGGCGATGAATCGCATTTCTCCACATTGCATTCTGCTCTTATGTTGTTGTTGTTTTACAGTATCCCAATAAGCTAAACGCTGCTCCCGCTCTTTTGCACACAGTTTACAGTTGCTTTAATCAGCTGATCTTTTTACGCGTGCTTATAAGAATTATAAAAATCGTAATTTGTGAAAAATGTACTTAAACGGGTCCGGATCGCGTATAAGTGTAATGAAATTAGTGCATAATTAATTGGTGTATATATATATCCTGTGTGTGTTTGATCTTTTTTGATAATCGATTGAAAGAACGCGACATACTCATATTCTAATTGGATATTAAGTGTGTAATAATCTGTGCGTTAGTGAAAATCGCGTAAACCTACGAAACATATACATAAATCTACTTTCTCCGCTTCATTTACAAATTGAAAAGATTATATTGAGATTATGCAATGTCCGCCCGTCCATCTGTACCCAATTAATTCGAGATAAGGTAAGTCGCAAATAAACTAAATTAAACTTTGACTAAGTAAATACAAATAGCAAGGAAATGGGCTTAAGTTCGTGAAGTAAAGTTATATAAATATAATTATAATGAATTAAACTACTTCGTGGGCCGATCAATCTCTGAACCGAACCTTGAGGCATTGGCCACCGAAAATGTGGTTTTTAATAAGCATGCTAGCTCTTAGAAAGGTGTTTGACATATTGCCCATCCGAGTCGGCTCGGGCTTGGCTTATCAGATTCCTATATTCGTTGCATATCAGCTTTTGCTTTCAATGCAACTTGCATGTGCCCAGTTCCTGTGGCTGCCGCAGCCAATGCAGAGCCGCAGAGCCGGCGCCTGTGAGCAAACAACAATCAATAAGCCGCACTTTTGTGCAGCCACGCCCACTTGGCGAGCAGCGCACATATGTGCATATATGAATGTGTGTCTGCCACAAATTTGCCCCTGCCAATAATTCAATTAACATGGGCGAAGAAACCTGCAACACCCGAGCCAAGACAGTGAACAGGGCGCCGTAGGCTGTTGGCTGCCACAGCTGCCACTGGGCCAATAAATATCAACAACACATTTATTTCACAATTGGCGCACATTAATCAATGGCAATTGCAAGCGAGAGGAGCACGATCAGCGTGTGCACCGGACAGAGAGTGCCACAACAAGTACCTAAGCAGCAGCTAACTACCGCAGGAGCTGGCAGGAGCTGGAAGTTTCCACTGGCGAGTGGAGCCGCAATTAAAATCAGATTAATATGCCGCCCAGTGGCACAAGAGTCGGTGCTGATGGTGGCCCAATCGGTATTGGCTTGGCGCAGCTCAGGTGCAGACAACGCCTTCCCAATTGCTGGCGGTTGTCATCCTCTCGGCTAGCTCGGATTACAATTGCGTCCGTCTGTCGATTGTGGCCCACTTTAATTGCACTTTTCATACTTGTTAATTTTTCAATTTTCCTTGGCCACCGACTGCGATGGCAACGGCAGCAATGGCAACGTTGACCAGTTGCCAAATGTCGAACATGGAACGTGGAACGTTTCGTGGACCACACACATAGATACAGATACAGATACAGGTGGACATGCGAGGGGCTGGCTGCCAGGCTGCCAGGCTGACCCAACTGGACCCAACTGGAGTGCACACACAGCGGGCGCAGCTGTCGACTGTGGGGGCGCCTCGTCCATTGCATTTGGGCCAAATTAATTGCCAGCGATTAAATTTCAAATTTTCCATGCCAAGTCCATATACAAACTATCCAAACATCCAGAGCTATTCGCTTCCGTGCTGCGAGTTTTGCGTGCAGCAACTGCAACAGTTTCTCCTGCTGCCTGCCACACGCCCCTGGCACGCCCCCCCCCCCCACCAACCCACCTGTCCCCCACTACCGATCGGCTTTGCCTAGCTCATAAAGTGAAAATCATTAGTTTTCATTTGTGGCGTTTAGGGCGTGTGCCGCCCGCTGCACTGCTGGCCATAAAATTGTCGTGCAACTGTTTTGCATTGCAAATCCGATTGCAACTCCAAGTGCAATTTTTACTTGCGTCGCCGCGTCAACTTTTTTTTTTTTTTTGCTTCTTGCAGTTGCATGTCAGCCATAGACACATGTGTGTATGTGTGTGTTCTCCCGTAGCGATCGATGTAGATATACCCTCTTAATATAGAAAGCTGTCAATGGTTTATATAGCTGGGGAACTTCGGGTAGAAATGGTGTATATGAATTTATACTCAAGAAAGTCACATATTAAAGGGCGTCTGCAGAATTTTCGGATCAAATAAAGCTTAGATTCTTATAGATTCTTATAGCATAGATCCTACAAAATATATGATATATACATTTTTGCGAGAAGGAGACATGTATGTCATATTTCTTACAGGGCATTTCTCAGTCAGTCACACTCAATACTGGTGCTGTGATTTTATCGTAATTAAAAGTATTTGCTGCTGCCCTTTGAAAGCTTTAATGTATGGCAAATAAATTCAAAATATATATGAAAGTTGCCCATGCGGACAGAATTCATTTGATAGATCATGAGTTAAAACTAAAACATATTTTATTTAAACAGCTTGAAATGTAAGTTTAATATATATATATATTTGATATATATGATGTGATATATATGCATTTAACATGGATGAACAGTTAATGATTTCAAGTGGTCAAGATATATCGATTTAAAAACGATAATTATCGATCTATGAAAAACATGTGCGTGCTAGTAAAGTGCAATGCTTTGTTGAAACCTTGACTCACATGATAGGCTACTATTTTTCTTTTAAACTGAAACAAGTTTGTTGGACGAACTTGAGGAACCTTTGGAAAAACTATTCGTTTGGCCATCAGCTACAGCCACAGCTCAAAGTGAAGTTCAAGTAGCAGAGTTCAAGTCATAACTCCTCGTTTTGGCCTCATCATCATCATTATTACCATCAAGCAGAGAGGAACATTCATAAGCAACAGAGTCAAAAGGCGTTGCACTAAATCAAGCCCACATGGTATGGAGAGCCGGGCAGCATCAGTTTGGACAGCTTCCACACAGTAGCCCACAGCGCATTGGAGCACACCGGGGCACACACACACACTGGCACAGTAGCCGCCAAGTTCGAAGAGTCGCTGAGTCAACGTCAGCAGCGGCATCAACAGCATCATCATTAAAGCCTGGCCAAGATAAACAGACGGTGCCCAGGCGCAGCCCGAACATGTGTTGCCTGTCGAAGCCCAATGAAGCGGGGCCAAAACTTGGCGACCCACAGGTTCCTTCCTATTTAACTGCCCTGCAGTTAAGAAGCAACAGGGTATATGTAATGTGAAAGTTACGCATCTGTGCGTGGGTGCGATTCAACAAGAGTATTATTATCATTTGTTGAGTAGAACATTTTAACAAACTTAATTTCCTAAAGACCTAGTTTTTTATTGTTTTATCTGCCATGAACTGTCGCAGGTTCGGTTCATGGTTTTAAGCCTTTAATATTTAATAACTAAATCGTTTTTTTGAAATGTGATTCAGTTGATCTTAGATATGATTGTTCATTATGCAACTTTACAGGATTAAGTTGCAGTTCATGTTTAGTAATATATCGAAACAGGTTTCGTTCAGCTTTGGATTTGCAGCTCTTCTATTATAGGGTATCCGCTCGCCAACCACTCTTCACCTAGTTAGTTTTCCTAATATTTTTTGTAGTTTTGTGTCTGTTATTTCTTAGCAAAACCTGGCGCAGGCGCACATAAATTTTAAATATCGCAACTTGGTCAAGGAAGATGCGCGCCAAGGAACAATGGCTTGGCTACTAAACCATATTTGGTAATGCCAGAGACGGGGGGGAACAGCTAGGTGGTATGCGGTGCCTGAAAATGCAGTTTTTACTCTTTTTTATTGACCTGTGCCTGAGCAAGCGGACAGCTCGAAGCCCAGCTGCTGGTGCATCGCTGCGTATGAGTAATGCCCACCAATTGTGTGTGTGTGTGTGTGTGTGTGTCCCTGTGTGTGGCTGTGTGTGCGTGCTCGATTTACACGGCTGAAAGGATTAATTCGTTACCAATTTGTTATAATATGCAGTCATAGCTATAAATCTATTAATTAAGCTGACTGTTGTTGTTCCTCTTGTTGTTGTGATTGCTGTTGTTGTTGTTGCTGCTGTTGTTGTGTGTGTATGTGTGAGTGAGTGTGTGTGTGTGTGTGTGTTGCTGTGCGCTTGGGGATTTTGCAGTTGAAAAATTACAACGCTTTTTAACAAATTCGCTGCGCTTACTCTGAGCAGCTGCGCAGCTGTGTAAGTGTGTGTGTGTGTGTGTGTGCGTGTGTAAGGGTGTGTGTTGCTGGTGTGTAAATTTGTTGAAATTTAAGACAGTGGGTGGTCTGAAAGTGGAAATGAGCAACTGGCAGCGGCAAAATAAAACCATTTTATGAATCAACTTTAACTCTTGATACCCCGTAAAGTACACTTAAGGAGAGGAGTTTACGCGACGTCTTATGCTTGTTGAAAAATTAAAACTTAGCATGAACATTTCCCACAATTTAACGATTTGCAATATAATTTTGTTTTTATTTGTTGCAATGTTATAAAATATAATAAAAGGTTTTATCCAGCTTTTGAAGCTTTTCTTCAAATGTTGGTTAATTTTCTGCTCATGAAAAATTTAATATAAAATGCTTGGATAATGAAATTGAATCCTAAACTTAACTAAAATAACGTTGACCAAGGATGAGCCTACGTTTGCAATAGCTGGCCCCGACTTTACTATAAAAACTAGGGTATTGCTCAGTCGATCTGCGTTGTAATATGATCTTGCTCATAATAAACCAATTGCGGGCCATAATATTAACAACAACTGTGAACTACTGTGCAACGTGGTGTGTATAAATTTGCCAAATTAAAAAGCGACAGCGGCCAAGGAGTCGGCAGCCATGGACAGTGGGACAGCAGGACGGCTGAGCGGGTACGGTTGAGCCACCCACCGGACGCATAGATGACGCAACAGGGTGCCCCGACTGGAGCGACAGCAACTGGGGGAGCGTGATACACTGTCTATAAATAAAGCCAGTGCCAGAGTAAATCAAAACAACAAACACGAAAGGCGAACATGTGGCGCTGTTGAATTGGAACTGGAACTGAAGCTGGAGCTGGGCGATTGGCAAGTTGGCAGCTTGGCGCTAGCCAGGATCAAGTGGAAGCCGACTCTGGGTGTGGTCGCCTGGGCGGTCGAGTATGTGATATGGCGTCAATATTTTGATCTCTGGCTCTGACTCTGGATCTAGCTCTGACTCTGGCTCTGGGCATGCGCATGGATTTGGATTTGTCATCTCCCAAGCGTCGATGACATAAATATTGTTACGCATTTTTCAGTTGACTAAATCGGTAATCGGGCAGGGCAGCCGCAACTGCAGCAGCGACTGTTGCCTGCCCCCAGACAATACGCTCGTAATGTGCTATGCCCGAGGCTTTGATCTGAGCGCCGCTTGTCAACATCTTATTCCGGTCCTGACATGATTGATTTT